AAAGTGTTTAAACCTGAAAATAACTTGTTTAACTAGTTAATATTTAGCTTAATTTTTATTTCTTTTGATTTTGATGTGAAATGTGACATGGACATGTTTTCAAGAGGTTTATTCTGTCTAAATTCTATTCAAAGTTCATCAGATTCTGCAGCGGTTGAAGCTTTAGCTCTGCTGAGCTGTTGTTTAGGCCTGTTGTTAGTGACTCTAGAAGCTGACGGTCAGAAACACATTGACTGATTCACAATGAGGTGTGACATGAACGCAGTCCTGCTTGAACACAGTCAGAAGTGAGTGAACGCTCGGATTGGTTCTGTCTTGCAACATTTGCGTATGTTCAGATGAGCAGGAAAATACAGTGGGTACGGAAAGTATTCAGGGGTGCTTCTACTAAATACTGAGCAAAGGGTCTGAATACTTAGGACCATGTGTTATTTCAGTTTTTCTTTTTTAATAAATCTGCAAAAATGTCAACAATTCTGTGTTTTTCTGTCAATATGGGGTGCTGTGTGTACATTAATGAGGAAAAAAAATTAACTTAAATGATTTTAGCAAATGGCTGCAATATAACAAAGAGTGAAAAATTTAAGGGGGTCTGAATACTTTCCATACCCACTGTAGTTCTATCCTACACAATTATTCGCCAACAAAGGTTATTTGTCCAATTTAATGCATATTGTACACATTTTTAAAAATTTATTTATTTTTTGTTAAACAAAATAACTAGGTTTGGGCATCGTTTAAATTTTATCGATGCTGATTCTTAGTTTCGGTTCCAATAAGATAAAAATCCAATATAGCCTATACAAAAAAATGAAATCAAATATTTAGATGGCAAACATGTATTCTGTGTCTTTTTACAAAGCATTCTGTTGCAGCTGAATAACATGAGCAGAAATCTGCAGCGTTACAGAACACTTAGGCCTACTTTTGCCTATGCTTTTAACAAAAATAACACCGCAAAAACAACTACACTAATATCAATTTTAAAGTGTTAAAGACAATAGGAACAAACAAATCAATTAGCAATAGCATAAATAAATACAACTGAACCAAATATCCGGTACAGAAACTGTAATTAAAAGTTTAAAAACACTGCATAGGTTTCTTTTCATAATTCAAATCTAGATTAAAGTTATTAAACACGTTCGGTCAATATCAGTGAATGGGTTTCTTGTGTTATTTGATTAACATTTATTAGGCAGCGCGTTTATTAGGCTGCTGTCTCTTTAACCATTCACGTTTTTATGAGCCATTTTCCGAAGCGTAAATACTTGTTTTAAACCATGAAGGCGAACCAATAGATATATCACAAGCAACGTGCAAACTTTGTGCAAGAGTTATGCGGTGAACGTCTTAATCTCAATCAATTTACCAGAAAGTGAAAGTAAAACGAATGAATGAATGAAACGGTTATAAACGAATGAATGAAATGTTTCACTTTGTCTCGAATCGGGCTCGTGGAAAACGTTTGAGAAACCGTACACTTTCAACTGGTTTATTTAGTCTCGAGTAAGACTGTACGACATTCACATTACACGATTTGACTGATTTTTACGTAGAAAGAGCGACAGCACACTGCATTAAAAAAAAAGATCATTCATGTTTTTTTAATAAACGCTGGCCAAATTCAAAAACTAAACTAAAATTGAATAATCTTTGTGAGCAAGGGGGCCCCCTGGTGTTTCGGGGGCCCTACGTAGCTTGCGCATTTTGCGTACAGGGAGGATCGGCTCTGCTATACTCACAGTGCGTCAGTTATGCGGTGATACACATTGAAATTATTGCGGGGCAATCATTGTAATATTAATTTAATAATAAAAGTAACCGAACAATAGTCCTAATAAGAAGAAGAATCTAACAGACGTACATTAATTGGAAATGCCAAATGCTCTTAATAATGCCAATATTTGATGCTTTTGACAATATCTCTGGCTATCGTCGATACATGGTCATCATCTTTAGATGCACCCCAGCATGCCGATACACCACTGCACGCCCATCCCTAGCGCAAACACAGATTTGAATGTTCCGGTATGACTACTCTAAAGGTTTAATAGACACGGGCGATTCATTGTCCTTTAGAAATGAGATCGTGTGAGTGCTTGAATCGAGATGGCGATCTTGTAGCGATTAATGGTGCAGCTGTAGTGTGAATGTGCCGCAGGGTCCGGCAGCCTCACGGCGGCTCTGGAGACGGCCAGCAGCAGGAAGGCCACGGTCATCGGGAAGCCCAGCCGCTTCATGTTCGACTGCATCGCCAGCCAGTTCGGTCTGGACCCGGCGCGCTCGCTGATGATCGGAGACCGGCTGGAGACGGACGTTCTGTTCGGGAGCAACTGCGGCCTGACCACGGTGCTGACGCTGACGGGCGTCTCCACGCTGCAGGAGGCGCTCGCGTTCAGAGACAGCCAGGAGCCGCAGCAGAAGCACTGCGCGCCCGATTACGTGATGGAGTCTGTGGCCGATTTCCTGCAGGCGCTGGAGGAGTGACAACTACACGGTCCCTCGACCGGACGCTCTGCTGACCACAGTATTCCACTTTAAGATATGTGACCCTGGAGCACAAAACCAGAAATTGAGATTTATACATCATCTGAAAGCTGGATAAATAAGCTTGTTAGGATAGGACAATATTTGGCCTACAATTCAACTGTTTGAAGGTGATTTTCTCAATATTTACCCCTCAGATTTTCAAAGTTGTCCAAATGAAGTTCTTAGCAATGCATATTACTAATCAAAAATTAAGTTTTACAAAGGAAATTTGTTAAATATCTTCATGGAACATGATCTTTACTTAATATCCTAATGATTTTTGGCATAAAAGAGAAATGTATAATTGTGACCCATACAATGTATTGTTGGCTATTGCTACAAATATCCCCCAGCGACTTAACACTGCTTTTGTGCTGCAGGGTCACATTTTTCTCCCATTTTATTTTATTTCATTTTTCATTTTAAAGTTTATTTTTATTTTATTTGGTGTTATTTTATTGTTAACGTATTTAAGAGGACTCAAAAAATGTTCATGAATTCATTATTTTATATTTTCAGAATTTTTAAAGATATAAAATATTAAGAAAATAACGAATGAAAAAAATTAAATCCCCTTAAATATAATTACCTTTCAGTAATAAAATAACACCAAATAAAATAATGCCCTAAAATACTTTTCAATAATACAAACAATTATAACAATAATAAAATAAAATAAACTTAAAAACCCCTAAAATATAAATATTTTTCAATAATAAAAATAAAAAATACCCTAAAATACCTTTTTAATAATGCAAACAATTACAAAACAATTTTTTTAAATTGTTTTATTATTGAAAAATAATTATATATTGGGGGATTTATTTAATTTTAATACAATCCCCTTAAATTATAATCAAATTTATTTTAAATGATGACAGACTTCTACTTTAATATACTACTTAAATATCTTTTCCCCCTTTATTTTTATTTTATTATAGAAAGGTAATATTTAAGGAGATTTGTTTTATTTCATTAATGTTTTAATTTAAATTTTTTTTTTGTATTTTATTGACATTTGAGGATTTCATTTTTTTTCATGAATTATTTCATATTTTCTGTAATATAATAAAATATCAAATATGAATAAAATATTAATTTAATTGAGAAATGAAATGTAAATCCCCTTAAATGTAATTACCTTTCATTCATAAAACACAAAATAAAATAAAATCAAATATCTTCATGGAACATGATCTTTACTTAATATCCTAATGATTTTTGGCATAAAAGAGAAATGTATAATTGTGACCCATACAATGTATTGTTGGCTATTGCTACAAATATCCCCCAGCGACTTAACACTGCTTTTGTGCTCCAGGGTCACATTTTTCTCCCATTTTATTTTATTTCATTTTTCATTTTAAAGTTTATTTTTATTTTATTTGGTGTTATTTTATTGTTAACGTATTTAAGAGGACTCAAAAAATGTTCATGAATTCATTATTTTATATTTTCAGAATTTTTAAAGATATAAAATATTAAGAAAATAACGAATGAAAAAAATTAAATCCCCTTAAATATAATTACCTTTCAGTAATAAAATAACACCAAATAAAATAATGCCCTAAAATACTTTTCAATAATACAAACAATTATAACAATAATAAAATAAAATAAACTTAAAAACCCCTAAAATATAAATATTTTTCAATAATAAAAATAAAAAATACCCTAAAATACCTTTTTAATAATGCAAACAATTACAAAACAATTTTTTTTAATTTTGTTTTATTATTGAAAAATAATTATATATTGGGGGATTTATTTAATTTTAATACAATCCCCTTAAATTAATCAAATTTATTTAATAAATGATGACAGACTTCTACTTTAATATACTACTTAAATATCTTTTCCCCCTTTATTTTTATTTTATTATAGAAAGGTAATATTTAAGGAGATTTGTTTTATTTCATTAATGTTTTAATTTAAAAATTTTTTTTGTATTTTATTGACATTTGAGGATTTCATTTTTTTTCATGAATTATTTCATATTTTCTGTAATATAATAAAATATCAAATATGAATAAAATATTAATTTAATTGAGAAATGAAATGTAAATCCCCTTAAATGTAATTACCTTTCATTCATAAAACACAAAATAAAATAAAATCCCCTAAAATACCTTTTTTTTAATAATGCAAGCAAGTATTAATTATTTAATGCATTGTGTTTTTATTTTTGAAAGGTGATTTATATTTGAATGGATTCTATTCTTAAAAGGTAATAAAGTTTAGCTTCATCTGTCAGAGGAATCTTACAGTAAATGCAGCTCCTCAGAGAAGACTCATTTATGCATCGCATGCTTTCAACAGATTAAAGATGAACTTGAATATGAATATGACTTGCTTTCTGCCCTGCGCTGTCGAGCTGGTCTTTGAGAAGCAGTCGTGCATGAGATGAGCTCTGAGTCTGTATGGCTGCAGGAGGCGGATCGTAGTGACACTCATCCTGATGATTCAACCTCTTTCGTGCTCCACAGAACAATTAAAGTCATCTGGGTTTAGAGGAGAGTAAATGATGACAGAAATCTACTTAATATTAGGATTGAATATATGTCTCCCCTTTTACTTGATTTTTAATTTAATTGTTTATTTAAAGGGATTTTATTTTATTTATATATATATATATATATATATAATCCCCTAAAATGTAATTACCTTTTAACAATAAAATGACACAAAATAAAAATTAACTTATATATATATAAAATGTTTAAGGTAATAATATTTAAGGGGATTTTTTTTTACTTTCTATTTTTTTCCTATTTTCCTAATTTTTATTTTATTAAAATATAATTACATTTTAGGGGATAATATTTCTCTATTTGTGTGTTTTTGTCAAAATGTAAAAAATAAAAGCTCCATAAATTTGATTTGATTTTTGAAAGGTAATAATATTAAGTGGATTTTATTGCATATAATTGTATATTAATTGTTTTGTGTGTTTGTTTTATTTTATTATTGAAATATATAAATATATAAAAAAAATACAGTCCTCTTAAATTCGGTTAAATTTAATTTGATTTTTGAAAGGTAATAATATTTAAGGGGATTTAATTTATTGCATTTTTTTATATTTTCCTGATTTTAAATTTTATATTGTTATTTATTATTGTAATTAATTTTTGTAGGAAGAAATTTAGTAAAATTTTTAATTTTTTTCGATGTGTAATAACTATAATCCCCTTAAATTGGATTTTTGAAAGGTAATAAGTGGATTTTTTTGTGTATCATTAATTTTAATTGACATTTCCTTAATATTTTACAACAAATAAAAAACCAAGGAAGTGTAAAATAAAAAAGAACTCCCCTAAAACAAAAATGAGCTTTCAGTAACAAAGTTAAACCTTTTATTTTCTGAAGGAGTATACTCCATAGCAGCATGAAGAGTTTGAAGTGCCGCTAACAGTCAGGTTTGTGTTAATGATTGACTGCTGACGCTCAGCTTCAGTCCTGTATTTTCAGAACGCAGCTTCATTCTCAGCCAACAGCTGGTCAGAAGACAATCAACTACCGTCCCTCGACTCTAGCATGAGTTCTGATGAAGTTAACAGCATTGGTGATTAGTTAAGTCTAGTTAAAGCACTGTGCCAGTCCAGAGCTCTACTTGGGAATGGGACAGTTTAGAGCAGTTTGACCAATGCAGTGACTAATTTATGTGCCAACTGCTGTATGTGTATTTATTTTGAATCATTATTTAGGTTTAATTGCATTAGTGTTACTTGACTGAGATTTGTTTTCAGATCTTGATGAAAATGTCTGACTACTGCTCACTTGTTTGTTGATTGGGTTTTAACTGCCTTTATTAACAAAAGTGACCTTTTTGACCGGAGTAGTTGATGTTTGAGAGCCGTGTGTTGTTCGGTGCTTCGGCTTGATGTAAAGCTCAGAAACATGTGAAATATGAAACAACTGCAAAGCTAACATGCCGTGAGTGTGAAACCACTGAATGTCAACCTGCATGAATGAGAAGATGAAATCATATTGTGGTTTTGATTCTAGTCAGTCAACCGTTCATTGAAACTGGAACCGTTTTATTACAGAAACGTAATCCTGAGTGATTTCTGGCCATGGTTTATTGTCTTTAGACTTTGTGTCGATTATGAACATGTAGTTCTGAACATTGATAATATTGAAGACAAACATGCAAACGCATCTGAAGTCAACTGTGAACTGCTTTGATGGATTCAGTGCTCTTTATGTGGTGTGAATTAACTTTTTTAGCAATAAAAACATGCCTTGTATCTTGTCGTTATTATTGTCTGTCCACGATTACATTTACAGAAGATTGCTGCGACATGTTTCAGTAACTAAAACCTTCAGTAAGGTTTTTTTTTATTTGTTAACGGTGTTATTACAATGGACTCAAGTTATTCTAACACAAAATTGTAAGATGCAATAGTTAATTGAATAATTGCAACTTTGCAAAATACATAAGTTATATATATATATAATGTAGTTCATCCAAATCTCAACATTTACTATTTTTTAAATATTTAACTAAATGCACTTACTGTGAACATGAACGTTTGTGGTTTTATTAGTTATATATATATATATATATATATATATACAGTGCTGTGAAAAGGTTTTTGCCCCCTTCCTGGTTTTTTTTATACATGTATATATACACACACAAAATGATATATTAAATATTGTTTGTTATATTAATCTTTTGCTTGTTTTTTTATTAGTTATATATATATATATATATATATATATACAGTGCTGTGAAAAGGTTTTTGCCCCCTTCCTGGTTTTTTTTATACATGTATATATACACACACAAAATGATATATTAAATATTGTTTGTTATATTAATCTTTTGCTCACTAAGGATGGATTTATTTACAATAATAGAACTGTTTATCAAGGCATCATTACTCCAGTCTTCAGAGTCACAGGATATGTATATATATATATATATATATATATATATACA